GGGTTGCAAGGACCAGATTGAGAAGTTGAGGGAAGTCGTTGAACTCCCTCTTCTCCACGTACGGGGAATGTTGTGCTGGTCCTATTCATTCTTTGAAATCTCGCTTTTATCCTACGCCTTTTGTTGCATTTGAGAAGTTTTCGTCCAGACTTTATGTGGGTACACTACTTGATCGCTCTCCTCTCGACATCAGTCAAATAGGGTAGCATATGGTTCAAACAACTGTTGATTATTCAGGCTGATACACTGATGTTTCGCCATTGTTTTAATTGTAGCCGGAAAAGTTTGTCAGTCTCGGCATCGAGCCCCCAAAGGGTGTACTGCTCTACGGTCCTCCCGGCACTGGTAAGACCCTATGTGCGCGGGCTGTGGCCAATCGTACCGACGCCTGCTTTATTCGTGTAATTGGTTCGGAGCTGGTGCAAAAGTATGTCGGTGAGGGGGCTCGAATGGTGCGTGAGCTCTTCGAGCTAGCCCGATCTAAGAAGGCTTGTATTATCTTCTTTGACGAAATCGATGCTATTGGAGGTGCCCGTTTCGATGACGGGGCTGGTGGAGACAACGAGGTGCAGAGAACCATGCTGGAACTAATCAACCAGCTGGATGGCTTTGATCCCCGGGGCAATATCAAGGTTCTTATGGCCACTAACCGGCCAGATACTCTCGATCCTGCTCTTGTTCGTCCGGGCCGTCTTGATCGAAAAATAGAGTTTGGTCTCCCAGATCTCCCGGGCAGGACGCACATTTTTAAAATTCATGCAAGATCGATGTCTGTAGAGAAGGATATTCGCTACGAACTTTTGGCTCGCCTATGTCCAAACAGCACTGGTACGTGTATCTCCTTTACAATTTGTCTTGGAAGTATTGACAACTGCTTTTGGGAGCACGTCTCCTGCAAAAAGAAGTTTAGGCTTTTGGCACTAGATTTTGGTATGTTGTGCTTGAGCGTTCCAAACTTGGGGTTTGTTGCTGAGGCATTATCAAGATTGTTACTGAAAATCAGCTTCGGTTTAGACTTAGTCGTTCATTATTGATACGATGAAGCTCCACTTCCATTGATCTATAGGCATTAGCGATACTAATTATGCATTCTGCCCGCTTTTCTGCATCTTTGGGCGCTAAGGAATAAAGGTAACCTCCCTGCCTTTCTCATAGGTGCTGAAATACGGAGCGTGTGCACTGAGGCAGGGATGTTCGCCATTCGAGCACGCTGCAAGATGGCTACAGAGAAGGATTTCCTGGATGCAGTGAATAAGGTTATCAAATCTTACGCAAAATTCAGTGCTACACCCCGATACATGACCTATAACTAGTTATGCGGGCCGTGTTGCTTCTTCTGTATTCTTTATTTTCGATAAAAGTTACTTTGAAAATGTCCGCATGTTACTGTTTTTGTCGACTCGTTTTTTCCGCGTCACTGTGGGGTAGGCTATATTCTATTTATCGTCCATTCTCCACTTTAACGGTCCCATTTGTGTGAGGTCTGGGTCCTGGGTGGTAGTTGGGATGTTGAACTATCACTCTCTTCGGCTGCTCGCTTTCAACTAGATTCTCACGCTGAAGTAATTGTGAGACCATCTAGCACACACCAGACGACGATGTTCGATTTAGTAGGCCTCCAGGTGGTCACGAATAAGGGCGCACATTGGGAGCGGTGATTTAGCGTTGCTTCAAGGAGATGGTAGTGAAAAAAGGACGACTTTTTCAAGAAGCACTGGTGGGAAGACTCGCAGATCGGCGATGTTTCATGCATTGGTTGTGTCGAAATGGTAAGATACGATGCTGGTTTTGTCGCGTACAATCCTTATTTCTAATGGTTACTTGTAATCCCCTTACAAAGGATTCCAATAATAGCTTAGAATTTATGTAACAACAAGAATATCAGAATCGCTTGTGTTGCGATCCACCTTCTTATTTGTGGGATTTCGCTAAAATATTACGGAAAGCTCTGCATCAATCTAATTTATAATTAATAAATTGCTGCTTTGCGAAAAGTTTGATTTGTCTACATCAATCGTTGCAACCTTGAGGAGTTTCAAAATCAAGTGAACGTAATTTGTGTAGGTGCTTTTCGCTTTCGGAAAGCATGTGATCTTGCACTTATAAGATGAGTGTTCTATGTTTTGCCTTGGTCGTTCTCCCGTACTTTTAAGTTTTTCATTGGGCATTAGATGCTGACTAAGTCTTGGCGGTAGAAATAGTTCCATGTGTGTACGGTGACAGCGCTTTTGGTCATTTACGTGGGCAACGTAATGGGTGGTTATTTTTCAGTTCGTGGGTGCTTTAGATGAATCTTGCTGGAGATGCTTGTTTCAATAGTCCTCCCAGGTTTATTCCGTCATGTTCTCATAGTCTGCGAAGGTTTTATGGTGTTGCTCAACACATGCAAGGCTTTTTTATCTTAGCGATATTCTGCGTTACTTTCTTAGGATTCTTCCCAATGATGGCTGCCATTATTCACGATCAACCCGTTCTTCGCTTCCGCAAGGTCTCTAATCTCGCTTACACCCCAACTCGTGGATCTGAGTTAGCAGCCGGTTACGACCTTTACAGTTCCGTTGACTGTGTGGTCAAAGTTGGGGGTCGGACACTAATTAACACGGATATACAGGTACTGATGTTGTGGTTTGCATATTCTCGATCTATCTAGATTGCTTTGCCTCCCGGATGCTATGGTCGGATAGCTCCCCGTAGCGGACTGGCTTTGAAGCACGGAATCGACGTAGGTGCTGGAGTTGTTGATCCAGACTACCGCGGTAATATTATGGTGGTTCTCTTCAACTTTGGCGACGAAGATTTTTACGTCAGACGTGGTGATCGCATCGCTCAACTCATATGTGAGCGTATCTTCACACCCTCCCTAGAGGAATGCCACACTTTGGACGAAACAAGGCGTGGTTCCAGTGGTTACGGCTCCACCGGGATGTGAACAGCGCTTTTCTGAATGAGATTATTTGAAACACACGAAATTAATGAACAGTACATGTATTTTTTTGAATTTGATGTTGTCTGAGATGAATGCGTTTGGACAGTATCGGATCACAAATGGGCATGTGTAAATGTCAAATTCGTGTAAATATGTTCGTTGCCAGAACAGGACACTGGTCATGACCAAGGGGCGTTGAATAGGTTAGCCCCTCCAGGAGTAAGGTCCTGTCTTTTTGACTATGCTCCATAGACGACTGCCACCAGAGTAGGGATTCTTATGCACCTAAAGGTGAGTAGACTTATGTTTAGGTTTGCGTTTTTTTTCGGTTTTTTGACTGAGTGTATGGTCTCACCACTGATTTGAGTTTGTGGTAGTTTTTCTTCGCCACTAGGTCCGAGCGTTTTTGGCCACGGAGATAAGGGTTAGCCTCATGAAGCGCCTCCTGTAATCTACGCTGTATGGGGCGAGGAATTTAGTTTGTTTATTTGGTAGAAGGGCAGATTGCGAAAAAAATATAGTGGATTTTCGGTGAGCTGCTGATAACTAGCTATGTAGGGTTTAGACTAACTAGTTCTGAACCATGAATGTCGATATAGTATAGGAGAATGCAAACTCCAGCTTAAATCGACGTCTGTTGATTAAAAATTACGATAATTTAACATCAATGCAGGCCACAGACTAAGGATGTTGGGAATATCTCCCTTGAGTGTTGTACATATGTCAGAATCAGTTGGTTTAGTAGTAAAAAATAAATTTTGAGATTCATATTAATCAAGTAGTGGTGGTAGTAACTAGGACTAGAGCCACTCGACAAAAGTATACGCATCTGTTTCACTCTATATTTGAGCGTAGGAAGTGTCATCATGAGAATCTAAGCACAGTTTTTCCATGCAATACTATTG